CTGCCCCGGTACTCACATCTGCAGAGCACTGTTACTTGCATTGATAAGGCCAAGGTCTTGGGTTTCCCCCAGGATCAACAAGGCACACTTTTCATGGCCCTGCAAAGGAGAGCAGGCTGAGGTCGCATTCGAGCCGGGGAGGGGACCCGGTGCTGCCCGGGACACAGAAACATTCCCTAAACCCGACCTTCCCCAAGAGCTCAGCGCTTTGGCAGGGCCAGAGGGGACAAATTGCTGTCCCCTCTGTGTCCTCGTTGTGCAGCTACGCCCCAGGAAGGACCCTGAGCTCCGAAAGGCGTCCCCGGGGAAAACACAGACGGGGCTGAGCTGCTCAAAACCATATCGGGAGCGTCCATACAGGGTGAGACAGGCGAGCAGGGGACAAGCCCTTGCCCGGAGGTGGCACGGCTGAAGGGGACGGTGACGGCGAGCAGGGCTGCAAGTGGCCGGCTCCTTACCTTGCTGCAGGCCAGGTGAAGAGCTGTGTTCTTGTTGACGTCCAGCACAGTTATATTTGCTTTTGCTTGGTACAGCAGGAACTCTGAAACGAGGAGGGACAGTTGCTGTTGAGAAGCAGCAGTGCAGAGCCGGGCATTGATCCCACACCGGGGCCAGCAGCTGCCAGCCACGTACCGACGGCCGCGGTGTGCCCGTTCTCAGAAGCCATCATGAGGGGAGTCCTCCCCAGCTTGTCGGTCGTGTCCACCTCGGCTTGGTGGCGCAGAAGCAGCTGTAAACCATGGATGTTGTCTGCAAAGGCAGCAGCGTGAAGGGGTGTCCTGGGAGGAGGAGAGAGCGGGTAAGGAGGAGGCCCACGGGCGGGTTTGGGGACCTCAGTCCCTTTGTGCCGCGGTGAGTCCCGTGGAAATCGCTGCAGGAGTCAGCCCCAGGAGGGTCGAGTCGGTGCTCACCTTCCTTTGGCATCTCTGCTATTAACAATCTTGGCACCTAATGCTTCCACCAGCATTTCAGCAGTGCCGTCCTGGTTGTTAATTCTGCGGTGGGGACGAGAAAAGAAGTTAGAATGAGACTGAGCAGCGTTCGGGTGTCTGTGGTCAGAGTGAGCAGCACGTTCCTGGGGCGTGGGTGCAAAGAGCAGCTGGTCTGGAGCTGTTTGGCGTAAAACACCCATTTACCCTTCTTGGTGTTGCTCGAGGAAACGTCACCAGGCCAGACAACTGCCTCTGCTGTTACAGCCTGCCCCAGGGCAGCGCACCCCTTCCTCCACCGGCAGTAGAGCCGAGGAGTCACCGTCAGCCCCAAACCCCTCCTCACCTCGAGGGATCCCAGGGACCGCGCTCCCACCACCCCAGACACCTCTGAGGAAGGCGGCGTGGGACAACGTGGAACCCCTGCCCCAGCAGAGCCCATGTCCCAGCAGAGCCCATGTCCCAGCAGAGCCCATGGCAAGCCTGGAGATTTCCCGAGCTGCTGCATAACCACGGAGCGGAGCGGGGTTGCCCAGATGTCACTTACACTGCACAGTGCAATGGAGTAAAGGGGTTTCCTTCTAGGTACGCAAACGGATTGTGTTCAAGTAACAATTCAAGACAATCTTCATGCCCTGCAAGGAGAGAGGGAGGGAAACACATCAGCATCCACCCGCGGTTCCTCGCCTGTGACGGAGCACAAAGGGCCCTCACTCTCCCCCCGTTCCAAGAGCCCCAGAGGCTGTACAGGACCAGCAGCAGCAAAGAGCCCAAACAAACCCGTTCCCCAGCACAGAGCCAGCGGTTTTGTTTCTTCTCTGGCAGCAAATCTGCTGCGCTTCAGGTTTCTAACTCCACATCGTCTCTGAAGGATTTCACAGCCACTTGAAACACTGAGACACCCCTTCCTGTTAGTCCCATCCCTCCCTGCAGCCTCAGCTGTTCTGTAATAGCTGTTTCCATAACTCATTCCTTTTTAAGGCGCTCGGCAGGGGAGGAAAAACTCCGTCTCCCTTCCAGACTTATGTCGTCCTTTCCGTCCGGCTGAGCTCACTGCCGAGCTGACGCTCCCCAAATGGCAGGAGACAGGGACAACCCAGCTCTTCCTCGCTCCCTCCTCCCCCTCAGCAGCCGGAGCAGAGCAGAAGGGCAGGGGCCCAGCCCGAGTCCCTACCGCTGTATTTTTTTTTTCGGTGAGTAGCCGCTGTAGTCCACCACGGAGTCCAGAGGGTCAGTAGAGAGGGCTGCCTGCAGCAGGGTCCTCAGGATTTCCAAGTGCCCGCACGCCGAGGCAAAGTGGATCGGGGTCCGGCCTTTGAAATCCCGACACAGAACGAAGGCATCGTGGTCCAGGAGGGCGGCCAGGCAGTCCTCGCAGCCCGTCACAGCCTGCGCCCAGGAGAGAGGACCAGAGGGTCGGTCATTTAGCAATGGAGCCACCCCCGTCTTCCACAGCTTCCTTCTCGAACGCTGCATCTCAGGGAGGGACCACGGGCTCTTTCACTGGGGACTCTTGGGACAAAAGAAGCCACCAGCTTGCCCCACAAACAACCTCCGCTGAGGAAGCCACGGGGCTTCAGGACCTCCG